AGTACAGGAATTCTGGAAAAGGTAATAACTCTTAACTATCTGCTGCAATTCGTAAGGAATTGAAGTCCTAGCAACTATCGTCACAAATACAGAAAGCTAAGTATTAGTCTGTCTATGTTGATTCTATCCCAGATGCTATTCATGCTGACCAATTAACATTTATTGTACGATATGCCCAAAATAAAGCACAAACTGAGAGATTTTTTGCAGTTTATTCACATTTATGGACATACTTGGAGTATCCGACGGATTTTGTGATTTCGTTTTTGGAAAATAACAACGCTTCACTCGGTGATTGTAGAGGTCAATCATACGACAAAAATATCTGGTTGTAATGAAGGTTTTCCTCCAAAAAAACGTTCTTAGTAAAGTTAGAAAAAAGAAAAAGAAAAAAACACGAAAGCAGTAACTTAAGTGAGGATAGTAATCACCACCCAAAGCTATGATTTGTCTGCCAACATTTTGGTAGTTTTCCAATGTCTTCAGCCGAGAAACTTGGTGGCGGCGAGTCCAAAAACAGATAAACCTCATTTCGAACGTTCTGTGCAGAATGGAATATAGCACCAGCAAGGTGTAGTTGCAGGTGTCAAAAATGTAGAAGTCCGAAGTAGTGATATTGGGGTTGTATGGTGGGTGTGGCAAAAGATTAAATTCGAGTCCGTACAGAGTCCAGCCGGTGAATGCAGACACATGTGATCTTGTATTACCTTATTTCGCCAGAATTCAGTTCAACGTTTTTCCATGATAGCAGCGTCAGCACGAACTAGCATCTCGCTGTACACCTTATTCCAGATACTCTTTGTGGATAATACCACGGCCACCCCATCAGATACAAAGCATGATCTTTTTATTAGTCAAATTGTGCTCTGCGACGTTGCCGACGGGCACAGACCAACCTCCTTTTCGGCCTGTGTTCTTGAAGTAACACTTTTATCACAAGTGATAAACATGTTCAGATTTTGTCCTTGAGGTAGTATTTGAGCAGATTGTGCAGGTCCGAAAACGTCTGTCCTTATCTGCCTGAGTCAGCCATGCGGCACAAAGCGATTGAACTTGTACGTCAAGTTTATGCGATACAGAGAGTGACTAATACACATGGCACTAACATCGAACTTCTTAGCAAGCTCTGGAGTGATTGAGTACTGATCTTCTTCCACAAGTTCTCGCAGCAGGTCGGCCACAGCGATCTGCTTCTTGAATGTCATAGTCTTTGTTTTTGAACTTTCGGTAACAAACCTTCACAGTGTCATATGATACAACATTAGTACCTAAAGCTGTAAACAAGATTTGGTGACATTCTGTAGCTGACATTTTATAACAGAACTGCAAGTAAATGATGGTTCCAATCTGATAGCATTTCAAACACCTTGTACTTAACGATAACTGTGAAAGTCCGGAACATAGGAAAATGTTAAATCCTGTTCTGACTCCAATAAGATTAATATTTATTTAAATTTTTCGCATTATATCGAATGACGCAGACAGAAAATCAGACATTACTTTTTTGATTCTCGGTGGCTTAATGTTGCCACTCTGGCGAAAGAAAAATCACATGCGAAGAGATTCACAGATGGCGCTTCAGTAACTCAAATGATTACGCCACACCCCACCTTCCCAGTGATAGCGTTATACCTCGTAATCTTTCAGATATGCAGGAAATCTCACTCTTCGTCTAGTTTTTGTGGTTCTAGGATGAATGTCTTTGGAAGGATCACTGTCCCTAGGAAATGGGGGTGAGATTTTGGAGTTATCAGCTTCATGTGTCTGAAGATTTGCCATTGTCTGGTGGTTTGGTAGATTTGTGGCAATGTCCCTGCTTCAGCAGAACTGACTATATAATAGTATTTTGTTTGATCATTCGTAACTCCAGCATTGCGGAATTGGGCTTCGATCAGAAGAAACCATATTTTGAGATCGAGTTTCTAAAAAGAAGAAATTTTGGTGTTGACCCTGGCGACAGTTGCAGTTCTTGCATTAGTTTCGGTTTGTTTACTTTCATCTGCTTCTGCAATAGTAGAATTAGGCTTAAGAGATGTACCTGCATACAATCGAATCAGTTTAAGCTTCTCCAGTTAAAGTTTGCTTAGTAAAACACATTTTATGCATTCTAAAAGTTTTCAATAAATTTACAGCCTAATTACCGCTGAAGCGATTCCAATATAGAACAAAATTAAAATTTTTAAAGTTGACTTACGCTTTTAGAAGTATTTCAGTCCCATGTACGCTCGGAATTTATACTTCTCAAACGCATAAAAACATTCGAACATCAGCAACTGGGCACCGAAATCGAAACTGTCACTCGGAACTTCCCAAACGCATAAAAACATTCGAAAACCATCAGTAATCCATTAATTAATCCGAGAACGCACTGCGAATCCGCTTAGGGTAATTTACTTCCAACGCATAAAAACATTCGAACCATCAGTTTTTAATGTAATCCAAGCGCACACAGAAGCACTGCGAAATCGAAACTGTCACTTAATCCGCTCGGAATTTATATTTCTCAAACGCATAAAAACATTCGAACCATCAGTTTTTAATGTAATCCAAGCGCACACAGAAGCACTGCGAAATCGAAACTGTCTCTTAATCCACTGTCGAATTCGGGGGAAAAAAAAAACACTATGAAATTTTGCAATGGGTAAGTAGCTGCATACGCCGCTGTCCATAACATGTCTTCGATAACAGGTGAATTATTTATAACGTGCGTATAATGTCAGTGACATCTCGTTCTTACGGAAACATCGTACATTCTTTTTCCATCTTAAACTTCATAAATAGAATTGGATAACATCCGGGAAAACCAGTGTGGAAGTCTGGAACGTAGGAAAATGTTAAACACTGTTCTCATTCCGATAAAATTAATATTTATTTACATTTTTCGCATATCGAATCACACAGATAGAAAATCAGTCATCATTCTTTTGATTCTCGGAGGCTAATGTGCCACTATCCACGCAAAGAAAAACCCGTTCATTTACTGATGTCTAAACGATAAAGTTTTTACAAATTTCACAAGGACTTCAAAGAAAATCTGTTTCAAATAAAACAATTTTTAAATATGCAATCGGTTCAGACTGTTGGCAGGAAATCTTAAAATCAAATTGAAGCTCAAAAAGCACAACGACCAAACTATCGGTTCATTGGAATCAAAAAAATGCATGGAGGTCCAAACTCAATTCGCATCAAAATTGATAAAAATGGAAATAAAATAAAAATTTGAACGCTTTACAATTAGCAATAATTTATGTGAAGGGAAATGTCATAAGCCTTTACTGTTTAATTAATGATGAATCACAGAGACTGGATATTCTGCTTTCTGCAAAAAACTTGAAAAACAAGATGAATGAGTTGGAAACTACTTTTTTAACTATCTTTTTGAATGGCATTTTGACTCGTATTCGTCCAGCGTGAAAATATGGATTTGTCGAAAGCAGTGAAATTGTTAAAATCTTTAGTGATGTATAATAAAAACCAAAAGACACGCTTTTCATATGGATGAGTCAAAAGCCATGAGAATATTCTTTATAAAAGAGTATCAAAGTGTTCACAAGCATGTAAAACAATGCAGTGCTAGGGTAACTTTTCTTGAAGACGATAAAGCACACAGGCGTAACATTTGAAGGCAATCGCAGCCAGAAATTTAAAGTAGAAACCTTTTTTTTTTTTTTTTTTAAATCAATAATTGATTGTCTAATTTACAACATACAAAAACGCAGTAAAAATATGAGAGAGTATTTCAACTGTTTGGATATTTTGAAAATATTTGTAATTTGGATTAGAATGAAATTAAAATAGCATGTGAGAAAATATCAAAATTTTATGATAAAGATATTCACGGAGAGGAACTGAATAGAATGTAAACAATACAAGTTACGTCTAACACTGATGGCGAAAAGCTGAAGAAAAAACAAAGACAAAACATGGAAAAACATGGAAGATTCAAAAGAAATATGATTTTACAAATGCAGATGGCAATGAAGAATAGTTGTTAAATTGGAGAAGACTGGGATTGGTATCAACACACTCTATACATACATGTGTAATGAAAGACTATTCACAGTGTTCCCAAATATTGAAATAGTAATGAGAATTTTATTGTCGATGATGATATTACTAATGCGAGTGGTGAGCATTCGTTTCCAAAACTCAAACTGGTCAAAAATGAATTGAGAAATCCTATGATTCAATCTCACTTGAATAATTTAAGTTTGATGAGTATTGAAATTGAAATATTATTAGGAGTTGATTTTGAAGCGATAATTAATGATTTTACAAATTTAAAATGAAGAAAGGGGATTTTCTAATAAAACTTCACTTTTTATGGTTTGCTTTTAATAAACCTTACATTAAATGAAATAAAAGGAATGCAGGGGAGCCTACTTTTGCATAGGCACCAGGGCCTCAAGAAGTCTTAAAACGTCCCTGGAAACATGTTGTTTAATTAGCCCTAAAGAAAGTCTGTATCTGATGTTTTGTTTTAATCTCTCATATCATGAAGATTATTTTGAGTTAAATAGTTAAATAGATTAAACAATAATTTTCACTATGAACTCAGACATGCTCCAAATGGCTCTCTTAGATTTTATTTCGTTTTGTAACAGAGAAGAACCTGTAAAATTAATATGATTTCTATACAAATTTTTATGAAATCCTCTTCGGGAAGATGACAAATTTTTATTCTTACATAAATGACAGTGCATTATCCCTTTAGTAAGAGAAATAGAGGAAAACAATGTTTGATAAGCGACAGAAATTATGATATGGAAAATAAAACCTTAACCAACTGTGGAAATCCGAAAAATGAAAAGGATGTCACAAATAAAGAATTTCTTTTGGAATGTAAAGATGATAACTGTTTAAAAATTAAAGATACTATAGATGTAAAATGTAAAAGAACTGGAAAAGTTAAAAGATCCCATTAAACCAAAAAGTGATTTCAATAAATGATATTCAGAGAAAAAATTAAAAGTAAACATTGAAAAAAATATGTTTCACAATATAATCAAGAAGGTTTTTATGTTCCTCCTGTTACAAAATTAACAGATGACAGAAATTTTAATATGAAAATAAAATTGAACCAATTGCAGAAATCCTGTTAATCAGTGGTTTCAATTTTTTGTTCTTTTCTTTCTTTCTTTCTTTCTTTTTTTTTTTTTTTCTTTTCTTTTCTTTTCTTTTCTTTTTTTTTTTACAAAATGGAAAAAAATAAGAAACTTTTTATTTTAAATAAATTTTGCCCAACCAATAATGTTTATTAAAACATACATACATAAATAATAATAACAACGAAAAATTAAAATTTTATTTATATTTTATCTGAAATCTAAAGTTTGGCACCTGTAAGACATTTCTTGGTGACTACACTTTCTAATTCAAATATATTGACAGCTAAATATTAAATTCTTAAACTTATATTTCTTTTAAATAATTCTAACATGTTTAATTAGTCATCAAATAACTTTAATTTTAACTAAAATAAACAAATTATGAAAACTTTCTAAGTTTTCAGAAAAAATTTACCAAGTGAGGTAAAACTTGAGAATATGTACATAAATAACAATCTTTCTCTTATTAAATTTTTTCTTTTATGCATAAATAAAAATACATGTGTTTGTATGTAAAATGTTATATATTTCTTTATCTCTTACTAAATCTTAATATTTGACAACATTTAGATTTTGATCAAATTTGAAACCTTTGAGAGAAATTTCTAGAAATTCATTGCAGATTATACAAGCTTATTAATAAATGAAGTCCTTTTCTTATTATAATGAAGTTATTTTCTTATAAATTTTGAACTGTGAAAAAAGGCTTTTTGCATACTAATCTATTCCCAAACAAAACGATTATTCTGAATACAAAAATTCATAACTGAGCTTAAAATACTAAAAGTACTATTTTTTCTAAATCAGAAATACTATTTTACACATATAATTCCTGAAGGAATAATGCCATATGATATGATAACATACAAATCTTATAGAAATTTAGTTTTAGTATGAAAAGCCTTGAAATACTTAATCATTTAAGGCCACCATGTGTTTTTTTACACTCAAGCTCAAGATACCAATGAAAGACAAAATTTTTTTCCCAACATTATCTGACAGGCTGTTTCATTGGCTACAAATCAATATAAGGCTTGCCCTGCTATTTCATGGTCAAACTGTTACATTAATAGACAGTATGACTCAGACTACTTAGCAAACAGTTATGTGCAGTGCCAGAGGATAATGAGGCTTAGGAAACTCTCTTTAATCAGCAAGAATAACACTGGATATTTTAAAAATAAATTCATAATTGCAGAAAGAATGCTTGAAATTATTGAAGCATAATAATTGGGAATTAAATTTTCAGAATTTAAAAGAATGAATACATTGAGCTCATAAAAGAATCTGATATTTATAAGATTTACATTCAATAAAGGGGAAGCCGAGAAAAAGGTTGTATATGAAGAAACAATTCCTCCAACCTAATTACCTGTTAGTTTCTTAAAATAGAAGAAGAAGGAATATTTTTTATTAATTCATTGCTGTAGGAAAACAAATGTCTTTTAAAACTCATAAAAACATGAAACTGAAAATTTTTGTTTCTGCATTTCAAAAACAAATTTGTTTTGCACTAGATTAGAAATTTAAATATTTTAATTATCTCCAAAAAATTACATGAGTTATAAAATAATTTAAAGTAGAAAATATTTTCACATTAAAATTTTTAAAAGTAATTTTTTTCTTCAAAAGTCATATTCTTCTATTACTATTTCTTCATCTGACAGCTGAGGTGGTTCAAGATCTGGTAAATTTTTATCATCATGCTGTATGTTACTTGTGCTTTCCAGATTAGTGTCAATTTCATCCATTTGAAAACAATCTTTTTCATCTAAAGGCTTAATTACTGGCCTATTTAATTAAAAATGCACAAACAGGAACATGTAAAGAATAAGTAATAAATAATAATACAGTTTTTAAATCTTGAAATTTATAAAAATAAAGATTAGTACAGTACAAAGTGAATCAATACAATGAAATCTGGACTTGTGGGGACTTTGGCGATTCAGGATTTGGGATTTTTCCGGATATTAGATCATCAGTTTAAATATAGTCAGATGGCATGTAGAAATTAAAAAATATGAAATCGTGATTTATGAAATAATGAAGTATTTATGATCTAAAAGGTATAAAAAAAAAGCTTAGTACGTATTTGGTTACCTTCTTAACATTTCTTTGGTAAACATTTCTTTCAATGCAAGTTGCTTCATTTTTTGTGCTAATACTTTCTATTTAATTCTGTAGACAGACATAATCTCTTGTTGAGTTACATTGTTGAAGTCCTGTAACTGCTGTTTCGAGAATTCCGACTAACTTGCCAATCGAAATTTTCTCGTTTTCAGTAATATCTCTGTCCCTTTTTTCACTATCGGTAGTGGTAATTCCTGGATCTAGAACCATACTACAGATTTCACCATTCATTAATAGATTGATGATTGAAAAGCATTGTCATCACAATGAAAAACTTCTTTTATATCACCTTCATTTATTACTGATTCTCCAAATTTCTTTACAAAATCTGTTAAATGGAAAATTTCACTTTTGTTTTGCGATATCCGAAAATCTTTAAAATTGGCAGCTATCATCCTCAAATTTAGCTATCCTTCACCGTACATATCTGGCTATGCATGAGCTTGGTGACTAATGACAAGTTGTTCCGTTAAAATTTATCTTGCTTCTATCGCACACTGAGACAATTAAGGAATTGTATTAGTTTAGTTATTTATTATACTTATGTCTATTTTTTGCACATGCTTAAGGCTTATCAGAGTTCTGAATAATAAAATTCCCACATATGCAGGGTGATCTTTTTTAAAGTGACAGTGTTTGGAGCGCTCTGTAGCACGATCTAATAGCCGAAATGGCACCAAACTTGGTATTAGACTAATCAAGACATGGGAAAAAGGATTCTGTGAAAAAGATTTTAGTTCCAAAAATCGCCGCTAGGGCATTTTGTGGCACCGCTGTAGCTTACAATAACGAGAATTAGCATAAAAAGGGTATCAAAGAAAAAAATGCAAATTGTGCGATGACAGCGCCAGTAATAAGGACTATAAAAGCAGGTAGTAGACAGCTCCGACAAAAATCTCAGCTGAAGTAACGAGCCCAGGGACATACCTCTCACATTACCTGTATGCGTTACTGGTGAAGCTGTATTACATGATCAATGTAAGATCTGCAGCTTGGGAATTCGAACCAGAAAAAAATTCGAAAGGGCCTTATCTCTGAATGGTATTAGAAAATGATTAAGAGTTCGAGGAATGGGGTCAATGACCATTCGCGCTGGGAGAGGAGTAACCAGTATCAGAAGATATAATAACTGATGTGGCAACTGCAATTGTCAAAGGATCGCAAGGAACCATTGGTACTAGCAGCGCCTGGGGTAGCTCACAATTGGACATATTATTCCACGTATGGAGAGTTTGTGGCGCGTTCTTGGTTTTACCCTACAAAATCACCGCTTGCACGAACTGAAACCAAGTGATTATGATAAGCGAGTGACATTCGCTCTATCGTTTCTTGCCAGGGTAGAAATTGACGATGCTTTTCCATGGCACATTCTGTGGAGAGATGAGTGCCATTTTTATCTCAATGGGTCCGTAAACACAAAAATACTCGAATTTGGGCTTCTAAGCAGCCCCACACCTTGCATGAAATCCCATTAAATTTGCCAAAAGTCACTATTTGGTGTGGTTTCACAGCCGAATTTGTAATTGAGACATTCTTTTTTGAGACCAGCACTCCGACAGGACTCCAAATATGCACCATAAAGGCAGAAAGATATCACGAAATGCTGCAAACGCTTGTTATTCCACAACTTCAGGAATGAAACTGTCTCCAACAGACAATCTTTATGCAGAATGATGCTCCGCCACACATTGATCCTTTAGTAATAAGGTAAAGCAGATGTTGCGCCAAAACTTCACTGATGAAGTCCATAAGTCGCAGTTTCCAGTTGCCATGGCCGCCTTGTTCCCTGACCCACGCCATGCGATTTTGGCCTGGGGTTTATTTGAAATCTCTTTATTTTGGAGTATCGATTGTCTATTCTCAAGGAAACATAACAAGACAGTGCTGAATATTCTTCGTGATATGTTACATGTCTGTGGAGAAGTTGTGCACAGAATGAATGGTGTTTTTCTGAGAACGGTTCTCACTGAATGTGGCTAATTCCTCCCGGAAGCTAAGGTATTAAATAAACATTAATAATTAACTGTACGATTGTATGTCTGATTAGTCTAATACCAGTTGATCCATTTCGCTATATCCTCGCTACAGGACTCCAAACACTGTCACTTTAAAAAAGATTACCCTGTACTTGAGCCATATTGAGGGCCGGCGATTGATATCTTACCGCCTGATGCAGGCTCTGTGGGTTCTAAATTCTGCGACACAGTGTGGCCATACGAGCCCTGACACTGGTTCTGGGTTTATGTGAATAACAAATCAGTTATTCTTAATTCAAATAGACGGAGGATTCTAACCGAGATGGAACATTAATGTTCCGTCTCGGTTAGAATATTTCTGCCCATTTTTACTGGCTTAACGTTTGCAGCGCCACATAATGTCAGCGGCGAGAGCCCAGTACTAATCGACAGAAATATTCTAATCGAGACGAAACAGGCATCGCTGCAGGAGTCATTACTCAAGTTGTCATATGTTAATAAACATGCGATGATGAAAGGAAAGTATAATAAATAAGTAATGATTTGCCAGGTTGGCATCAGATCAACGATGTATCTATGTGCAATGTTTCAGTTTGAGATGTTTGCTAAGCAGATACACAGCAACGGAGCCAAATTACTGATCATATAAATTTATGCTAAAATGATTGTTTCCTCAATAACAAGATATTTTATTTAGTTTCGAAGTGAAATTAAGAACCATGACTCTCCAGATGTTTTATTATGCACGGAGGAGGGAATCAAATGTGCATGCATAAAGGCTACAACTGAAACGCTGTTGGTGTTTTTGAGGTCTGGATTTTAGATCATTCCAGATAATGGACGTCCGGATTTCGGACTTTATATTGTATATTACAAATAAAGCATATAACAAATATGCTTCTTATATGCTTAAATATACAAATAATTACTTTAAATTGTAATTTGATTATGAATCAAATGCTAATTATAACAACAAATAAAAACATTGTATGGTTTTGATAAATATTTATATTTATTTAATTTACGGGCTGTCATTTTCCTCTGCAAGTTAAAATAACAAATTTCTACTAGAATCTGAAAATGCTTGACTTATTTTCATTATGCTGAACAGTTTCATTACTTTTCATTAGGCACAGCTTAGCAATTACTTCCAAGTTAAAATTAAGATTAACTTCCCAAAAACATTTAACAGATAATGTTCGACTAGCGTAGTTGGCTGTTGGTGTATGGTAAAGCGTACAAGAACTATACGCCAAGGAGAACAATGTCTTCCTGGAGGACTAGCTCGTATTCATACGACACACGAGGAAATCCATGAAAACCAACCAAGCAGCTAGTTTGCTCACCTGGAAACATACCAGGTCAAAATTCCAGTATTCAGTGGTCTTAATCACTCATACACTGTGGGGAAAAAATGCATCTATCACATACCATCAGTTTTATTTTTTAGCACTACTGCTCTTTTCTCCCCTTTGATAAATTACCTGAGCAGCTCACTGCTATGAGATTAAAAATCTTTCTTGTTCTATTCAACTTTACAGAAAAGTTTTGCATTATGGTTTTGAAATATCATGTTTGATTATTAAAAATGCAAATACTAAATATTATTTCAAAAGAGAATATGTACTTTTATTCCCAAATCTGAATGCCTGGTACAGCAGCCAACCCCTGACTCTCAATAATGATCATTTGTAGGAAATGGTTGATGCTAATTTGAAATGTAGCTGCATATATTCAGTGAAACAGTTCAGAGTTTTGCATACTAATAAGTCAATTTTTTTTCTTACACTATTTGATGTGAAGAAGATAGGAAGAAAATCTTCATATCCTAGAAGCTAATGCAGCAATAAATGCACAACATAGTTACCAACCTTGAAAAATGAAAATTGGAAAATTTTAGTATTGTGTGACAATGATACATCAGTATGCCTAATTTGAACTATTAAATCCATTGTAACATGATGGTTCATTATAATAAACTTTCATTGAATATGCTTTCCTCTTTTCCCAGAGAATAAAAATTACTTATTTTTTAATGGATAATGAGTAATTTGATCTACAACATCAAGCACAGGGTGTTGGCTCATATACACAATAGCCAGGCATAGATAAACTTCCTTAATCTTTTAGAAAAAGAAAATCTCCTAGCCTAATTAATAATTTAGTTTTTTATTGCTGATGAACTGATGTTGGTTTGTTATGAATTTATTTATAACTGCTTTATACACTCACTTCCAAAAGTTAAG